TTTTACAATCATGCATTAACAGCGTCCATGCAGGCGCTCTGTATCTTAATTATTGTCTTTATTGATAATCCCTAATACATTTGTAAACTGTCAAACAGGGATGATGTAACTGATGGTGAATGGGAGGCCCCCAAAATCGAGAATCCTGCTTGCAAGGACGCTCCTGGTTGTGGGAAATGGAGCAAACCCCAGATAAAGAACCCCAAGTACAAAGGAAAATGGTCCCCACCTCTGATCTCTAACCCTGCTTACAAAGGTGAATGGCATCCTAAGAAGATCCCCAACCCCGATTTTTATGAAGACAAAGAGCCATACAAGATGACACCGATTGTAAGTGCACTCGAAATGGTTTTTTAGTCATTCATTTGTAATTTTAAATATTCTCACATACCGTTTTGCGGAGAGACAGCAGATTCTTGCTGGTAGTTTTCTGAATCGAAATCGTAACATATCAAGCGGTATATCATCATACCCCTTTACGTTGAATTTGACATCTGCAAGCCGGTGGAACATTTACTGTTCACCCTTCGTAATCGGAAACTCAGACATGACGTAGTCACAAGCATCTTAAGCATCTTTAACTAATCGAAAAAGCCCATTATCGGAAGCATGAGATAATTCTTCCGAGATTGATGACTCGTTTATTGTGATTGTAAGCTCTCTCGGTTATGTCGACAGGTAAATTCCAAGACGTCTATACAAAAGAATTACTTCGAGTTCTGTTATTATGTTGTGTTGCAGGTGTGTATGTTTCTAAGCTAAGTTCCATACAGATGAATAATAGCTTTCCGATTACGAAAAAATTGACTCATACACTATTTTATTGCAATCTTGAAAATTTACAACGGTTCTAAATAAGTTTGTATGTGGGAATCTGAAATTTAAAAAAATTGATTTTGTTTGGAGTGATTTGCTCGCTCGCCAGTGTGACGCCCTCCGACTGAATTTCAAATTTACCAATCAAATAAGTTACACACCAACTGCGTTCTGCATATAATCAGCATAAGATCTTTCCCTTCACACCTCCCGAGTAAATCTGTATAGTTTCTAATACTTTTTGGAGATTCGTCGGATCCTGTACTTTAGTAACCGTAAATCAGCCAATTAATATCCTAAATTTTTTAGCGTGCCCTGGGCCTTGAACTGTGGTCTCTCAGCGATCAGATTGCCTTTGACAACTTCTACATTGGAACTTCAAAGAAGGGTGCCGACGAGTTTGCGGCACAAACATGGGCGGTGAAGCACTCAGCTGAATTGGCTGCAGACACTTCTGCGGTAAGTTACTTCCCAATACGTTGGCCTTTCAAATGATTGCTTTTTTCTCACCACTCCTCAGAGAACCAGTTTTATGGACTTTTATGAAGTAGGATCTGTGCTTTTTTACTATCTCACAATTTGTGACTTGTGAATATTCATGCTAAAGTTTCCTAACCCTACCCTTGAGAATTAATCACTCTTCCTCGTAAATGCATTTTAAATACAATGGAGTCTCGGGGGACGAGCAGCTCCATCTAGGAGCATTTCAAGTAACGAGCGGTCCACTTGCCACTTGCTCTGATTGACGAGCTTCCGCTCAGTGAGTTGTCAGTGGTTGTGCCTGTGTCTGCCGTTGAGTCTTGCTCCCGGGGCATGGGTTCTCGGTCGCCTGTAGCCAATTAGTAAACTGATGCAGTTTTATTGGCGACGTTTAGCAAGACAAGCCTTTCAAATGACGAGCTCGGTGCCGGAACAGATTAAACTCGTTAATCGACGTCCCGCTGTACTAAATTTTCCATAGTTCGCGATTGTTGCTATAAGGTCACAGGCGTTGGCACTAGATGGCGTACGAGCATTAAATATCATAAGTGTAACAACTATTAATCGAAGCATTAAGTTTATACTTGAAAGCGAAGGTTGCTGCTTTGGTGGTGGTGACGTTG